AAGCAATTGTAACTTAATAAGTAAAGAGATTCTTAGTAATGCATACATTATTCATTAATGTTTTGAATGAATTACAAGAAAAATGCTTTGAACAAAGATAATCTATGAATAGAATCTGTTTTATAATATAGATTACACTAAATTATAAAATAGAAATTATTATATGAGAAATGACTTTTAATATTAAAAAATCTACTTTCATTTAATGATTAATATAATGTAATATGATATAATTTAAATTATATCATATTTTTTCAATTTATAAATTCTGACATAAAATTTTCCAATAATTTAAACATGAATAAAATTAACAATTACAAAGAAAATAAAACTTTAATCATCAATAGTCCCACGCCTTTGCAGCTGCCGTAAAAAAAAAAAAAAGGAAAATATTGTCAGTGTCAGTAAAGGCGTTCTTAAACCCCAAATATTTTTTCCTTTACAAGAAAAAGGAGAGAGGATTTTCTTATTTCTAGAATGTGGCTTTAGTTTTTTCTTTTTTTGTTTTGTTTTTTGTTTTTTTTTTAAATCACCGCGGATTGGGAGAGTCCAGTTCTTATCAAAGCCCAAAGCCCAAAAGAAATATCCAGCCAGGCCTTTAGATCGCGCAAACAAGACATCGTCGTACCCGAACCGGTACTCCCCTGCATACGAATAATACGGCACCGTTTCACCATCGAACTTCACGGTGACGTTATTCTCCCTGTTAAAATCGACAATGTCATCGTAGGGTGGAATTCCAAGTTCTCCGCCGAGCCCTGGACCGGTCGCCGGCGCTCCGATTCCGGTTACATTCTGATCCTGGAGTTTCCACAAGTGCCCGTGCGCCGGTAGCCCCATGACTAGCTTTTGGGGAGCCACAACAGCTTGGATCCAAGACCCGATTCCGTAGTTGGTACAGGGATTGCTGTTGGAATCGTAGAGTGCCGAATGTTCTCCGGTCAAATTCTCCCAAATTCCTCGATAATCATAGTACATCGGACTAACCCAATCCACGTATTCTCTGATTGTGCCGATTGGGTATGATATGGACACGCCGTTTGACATCCGCGTCGAAGCGTAGTACGCCGAAGTTAAAAGAAGACGCGGCTTTCGGCAGGCCTTTGATTCATCGTGAAGTGCTTTCCTCCATTCCTTATATAAAATTGCAAGGTTCATTGTGTCTTCAGCGGTCGCCGGAAACTCCCAGTCTAGATCAACGCCGTCGAATCCATAAATCCGAGCTACTTCAAGGATGGAATTAATAAAAATTAAGCGCGTTTTGCGGGTCATAGCCATTTGAGAGAAAACAGTTTGGTTAACACCGCCGCTGCCAATGGAATGCAGAGTCTTTACCGGCGGGGTTTGCCCACATAGCGAACCCATGAATTCGGGTATCTTTGTTTGGTCAAAAGTAGTAACATTAAGCTTGAAACTAATCGGGTCGACTGAGAGAAAGGCATAATAGATTTGGTGAAGTACGAAGTCTTAATGGAGGAAGTGGGAATTCATCAAACGATGGTCCGTAAGTAGCTATGATTCGTCCAGCATGAGATACAGACTCCGGCGTAGGTGCGGGTACATCGGTGGGTGGGTAAGAACTAGTAGCTGGCGCAACCGGCTTGGGAATAAGAAGCCTAGGCGGGAGCCCATCCGGACTCGGACTTGGTACTTCTGGATAAGGGTAATAAGCAGGCATGGGCGGGCAAGAAATAGGAACGGGCTAAAGAGGTTAAAGAACTTGGAGCTGGCACAACCGGGTCAGGCATAGGAGAAGATGGAAAAGGAGGTGTTGCAGTTGGATCCGGACTCGGTTCTGGATAATAAGGATTATAAGCAGGCAAGGCGGGGGCTAGATATAGGTGCAGATTCAGTGGGTGGGTATGAGCTCGGAGCTAGCACAACCGAATTGGGCATAGAAGGAGAAGGTGGCGAAATAGGAACTACATCCGGACCCGGTGCCAGCACTTCCGGACCAGGAAAATAAGCAGGAAGAGGCGGGCGATATATGGGCGTGAATTCAGAAGCGGGTGGGTAAGAACTGAGTTGACGCCACCGGGTAAGTTATAGGGGAGCGAAGGCGGGTAAACGGGCACTGAATCCGAAACTGGATTTGGACTCGGGCTATAAGAAGGGGAAACGGGTAATTGTGGTGGAAAATCTGGGGCTGGCCCCAGGAGAATATGGGCTGGTTGCTGCAGAATTCTTCACTGTTGCAAAAGTGACAAGGAGAAATGGAAGGGACATGTAAGTTAGGGAAGCCATAGTCGAGGTACTTCCTGGGGTGGATTTGAGCTGGAGATGTTATAATTTATATGTTTCAGAAACTATGAAAACATCGATGTTCTGTATTTGGGTTTGGACTTTGGATGGTACGGTCCTCTGTTTTGTTAATGGAAGATGGTCTTCGAAAATGGATAGTGCGGATCGAGGAAGAGAAACCAGAGAGATCGAAATGCATGCAGCCAAATGCAGACTTCATTGTTATGATCTAAAACATAGAGAAAATAGAAAAATCACAAAGCAACTATCTGTCTTTTACTTTGAATTTGAGCTTCTAAACAAGTATTGTTTTTGCAGCACAAAATATACTCTAGTATTCGCCGCTTAAATACTAGTTAGAAAGATACAAAGATCTTCCAACAACATAAAGTCCGGTAAATTTCTTTCCCATATCCCTGTTTGCCACTGAAATATATAACATTACTAAATGTGCCCTAATATTCATTTATTTATTTCATACTGCCCAAATTTTTAATCCAATTAATTATATAGATTTTTTTTTAAAACCACTATAACTTTTTTAAAATGAGAAAGAAAAATGAGATCAAGAATACTCGAACATTGATTAAATGGATAGCAAGTAATATCACTTTCACTCACCCTATAAATCAAGTTAATTATATAAATTTTTATAAACCATATTGTTTATAAGTATTAAATAAATCTCTACATAAAACTAACCAAATACGATTTATTAAATTATTTTGCATAGGCTTGCGCGCAGCCACATGTGATTATAGCATTTCACCAAGATATATATATATGTTACTGTAGTAGCTACTTATAGCTTGGTTATTTCGTGAGATTTTCATCCACGAGAAGAATGGTGTATATACTTACCAGTAATCGCAAGTGAAGCCGACACTGCCACACACCACGAGGAATCCAATATCAAAGGCGGGCAAAGTATTTGCTGATTGCAAGGAAACATAGTTTGATCAGATTCCAAGAGGAAAAAGAAAAGAAAGGATGAATGATTACACAGAGAACTCAT